AGGTCGGGCATGTTCCCTTACAGGCGGATTTTGGAAGAAAAAGAAAACAGAATAACAAATATTCCCCAATCGCAAATATTGATTTACATATATACAGATATAGAAACATCTTCCCCAGAATATTCTTTCAGTATTTGTGAATATTCCTCCTGTAGAGGGACAGGCCCGTCTTAAAGATGGTTCCAAAACGCCGCCGGGACGGCCCAAGAAGGCCCCGAGAGCCCAAGGGATCTCCATCACGAGTAGTCTTCCATCCGAGGTTGGTTTCCGACGGTCCTGGGGCCCGACGCGGGCCTTGAGAGGCCAACCGTGAAAAACAAAAACCTCATTCTCGAACCTCGATCAGCGGGTCGCCGCCGCGTCGACGCTGCGCGAACCTACTGTACCCACTTCGACTGCGCCGAGCCCCAGGGGGAGCTGGCTCTGGCGGCCTCCGAGGGGCAAGATCACTCAGCACCGAATCGGGAAGCCGGATCAAGGCGGGACGTGCCTCATGGCCGAAAGATGCCTGCAAGACGGCCCAAGATGCACTCAAGACGACCTAAGACGGCAACAAGACAGCCCCCGACGGCCCAGAAGCTCCCGAGAGACCTCCAAGACGGCCCAAGAGGCCTCTCAGAGGACATACAGGATTGCCCGAAGAAGCCAAAATCATTGATTCCCCTGAGGTTTCATTGATTCCCCTGTCGGCCGTCCGACGGCCTTCCGACGGCCCTCAAGATCGTCCAAAAGGCCTTCAAGATGGCCCCGTGACGGCCCAAGAGACCACCAAGACTGCCAAACCAGGACTTCAAAACGGCCTAAGAGGCCTCCAAGACGCCCAAGATGGCCTCCAAGACTGCCAAGATAGTCCAAGAGAGCCGCGAGCCCAAGGTGGCCGCAAGATCTCTCCAAGACTGCCGAAGATGCACCCAAGACGACCTAAGATGACCTTAAGTAAGATGTCCCAGGAGGGCCCCCAAGAGGCCTCCAAGACAACCCCAGAGGTCTCCAAAAGGTCCCCAAGGACGGTCTGGCGGAGCCAAGATCATTGATGTTCCTTCTGTCATTGATGATTTTTGCATTTTCTCCTTTTCAGTGATCCGACGGCCCAAGACGGCCCATGAGGCCCTCGAGGTGGCCCAAAAGGTCCCCAAGACGGCCCCAATAGAGCCCCAGGACAGCCCCAGGCGGCGCTGAAGTGCCCTAAGAGGCCCCAAGTCGGCCCAGAGAGCCTACCAAGACGGCGTCAGACGTCACCAGACGGGCCAGGAACGCCTTAAGACGGCCAAAAAGCGTCCCCCAATGAATGGCCCTTAAAGGCCAAATGAGACCCCCAAGACGCCTCAAAGATGCCACCAGGAGGCCCCCAGAATGCCCCAATAATGCCAAGAGGCTCCCGAGCTCCTCCTCCTCCTCCTCCTCCTTCTCCCCCTCCTCCTTCTCCCCCTCCTCCTCCTCCTCATCCTCATCCTCCTACTCCCGCTTCCTCCTTCCCCTCTTCCCTCCACTCATGCTCCTCGAAGGGTTTCCACAATGGCTGGGGGAATACATAGTCTGACAGCTTTGCCGAGCTCTGGCCACAACGTTCGGCCACATAGGCACTTCATAAAATGCAGGGGGCGGCGGTGATTCGCCGTAGGCGTCTTCGATGAATAAGCATGTTTCTTGTCTACAGAGAGAGAGAAAGGAAAGGGATATAATTAGAGGTATAGCGAGGGAGGGAGAGACATATCACGTTACACGCACGTGCACATTACGAATGCAGATCGACATCTATCTATCTATATATATATATATATATATATCGATATGGATAGCAAGACAGAGAGAGTGAGAGAGAGAGAGAGAGAGAAATACATACATATATATATAGAGAGAGAGAGAGAGAGAGAGACATAAACAGAGAGAGAGAGAGGGGAGAGAGAGACAGAGAGAGAGAGAGAGAGAGAGAGAAAAAAAAAAACAGAGAAAGAGAGAGAGAGAGAGGGACGAGTGAGGAGGATGAGGAAGAAGGGGGGAGGAGGAGGAAGGAATGAGGAGGAGGAGGAGGAGGAGGAGGAGGATGGAAGGAGGAGGACAAGAAAAAGAGGTAGAGAGGGAGGAGAAAGGGAGGAGGGCGAGGATAATGAGGAAAGGATGAGGAGGAAGGGAGGACGGGAGGCATGAGGACGGATCAGGAGGAGGGGCCCTCCCTCCCCGGACTGATGGGCAAGGTGTGCTGCTTCCCGTTGCAGCGCGAGGCCGCTTTGGTACCGGTACTGGGGGCGCGTGGCCGGCGCGCACGAACGGAGAGGATCGGGGGCGTACAAGAGAGGGGCGTCCAAAAGGGGGGGGCGCAAATCATGGTCGGCGACACGTGCGCGGCCCAGGGGGGGGGGGGCAGGACGTGTTGAAATGAGAAAAGGCGACATGAAATCTGGGGAGACATCATGGCCCCCGCCATGATAGTAATCCACACACCCCTATTCATCACCGCCCTCTTTCAGCGGCGGACAAACCTCCCTTTAGTAAGCCTCCCCTTAGTGAAAACGGCCTAGGACCGAAACCGACAGACTTGTACCCGCAAAAATGACGGCCGCGACGCCCTCTCGCGAACCGAAAACGGCCAATTCCCTAATCGACGTGTCAGGGTAGGAGGTCCATCAACCTCCGACTCTTTGCCGCCCCCGAGAGAGGAGTGGAGGGATTGGCCGGGGAAGGATGTCGGCCACACGCACAGGGCGACCCTGGGTAAGGGTGACATTTGGTGCGCGGCTTGCTGGGGGGCCGCGGGGGGACCAAGCACAAGCGCACAAGACGGTGCTATCGTTAGGTCGGGCGTGTCCCCCCTAAAGGGGGATCTTGGACGAGAAATTAAAAATAGTCAAAACAGAATTAAACAAATGCCCAAAAGTAAACCATCGTCCCCAGACTATTTTTGATTATTTTCGAAGCTTCCTCCTGTAGGGGGACAGGCCCGTCGTAAACCAAACACAAGCGCGCAAGGCGGTGCTATCGCGCCGCGTTCGGCGTTCGGGGGGCCCCAATGGGCCCGCACCAAAGGTCACTCCGGCGAAGGGCCACTCTTACGTGTAGTCGAAGGATGGAGAGGGCGGGGAGGCATCTCCTCTTTCTCCCAACAAAATGGACGTTTCTCCCTGCGGCCTGGCCTCCTTCCAGGCGCAGCGCCGGCAAAGAGACCAGTTTGATGCGCTGCTCATTTGATGTTGCGCTCGCCGATTTCTCAAGATCCCAAAGAGACCTGAACAACTCGCAGCTGGCATTCGCAAAAAAAAGCTCCGGGGACAAAACAAGTGGTGGAGCGTACACATACGCACACACATATATATATAGACACCTATATATGAAGGTGTACATACACACAAAGGGGACGAGCACCACGTATATACACATGTATGTGTATACACAGGAGACACACGTAACGCACGTAGGTGTACACATAATTACGTTGACAAAATCATTTGCTGGCCTGAGTTTACCCCGAGCTGTGAATTGCTGCACTGTAAGTGTGCAAGCTGTACGTATATACACCGATCAGCATTGACTGAATATACATCTACATATACATGTGGTGTGAGATGAATGGCATAAGTGGTGCATGATTTGTGGTGCGACCTATGTGGTGTGTTGTGCAACCTGTGGGGATCCATATATGTGGTGCAAGGCGTGTGTCGTACTAAATGTGGTGTAAACTATGTGGCGCAAGCTTGGTGGCACCAGCTATGTGGCACAAACTTTCTGTCGAAGGCTATACGGTGCAACGTAAGTCTGTGGCGCCGGCTACGCGGTGCAGGCTCTGCGGTGGGAGCTGTGTGGTGCGAGCTATATGTTGTGCAAGCTGTGTGGTGCAAGCTGCGTGGTGCCGTGGCGGAAGCTCCGCACAGCGGACAGCGTGTCACCGCACAGCGCCCACGACCAGCCGCGGCAACAGCGAGGCGGAAAGCCTTGACGCGCCCACCCGTCACACGAGGCGCCCAAGAGGCACCCACGGGCGGCGACGGTGCCGGCGTCGGTGCAGGCGAAGGTGCCGCCGTTGGTGCCTGTGGGCAAAAAGTTCGCGGCGTCGCGTGTATGGGATCGAGGAGGGCAAAGCTCTGGGCGTGCACCGAGGCTGGACCTCTTCGCGAGCCTCCCGGGGACCTCCCTGAGCCTGGATCCCGAGCCTCCCGCGGACCTCCACGAGCCTCCCGGGGACCTCCACGAGCCTCCCGGGGACCTCCCTGTGGCACTGCGACCTGCCAGCCACAGGGGCCCTTACACGGGCAAGGGTGCCAATTTTGGACAGCGAGTTGCGCTCGGGCTTGCGAGGGCCGCGCGAGGGACAATTTCAGGCAGGGCTTGGCAGCCCCCAGACTTGAAGTGGTTCCTGTCCGAACGGTTCAACAGGGGGGCGACGGGCTCCTCCTGTGCTCTCCTCCTCCTCGTGCCCCTCCTTCCCCTCCTCCGCCTCCTCCTCTTCTTCCTTCTCCTCCTCCTCCTGCTCCTTCTCCTCCTTCCCCTTCTGTCTTGCCATCCAACGAGGGCGGGAGCAAGCCCGCTACCGCCGCGCGTTGAAGCGTACCGTGCTGGCCTCTGGCATCTTCAGCTGCCGCCAGGGAAGCTCACAGGTTGATGGGGTCTCCCTGTGCTTCTCCCCTCTGTCGGGATCGGGACTGCCATTGCAGCAGGACTTTCCTTGTATGTTTTGGGGTGTCATTGCTTCGCACAGGCCGGCGACGAGACCCCATTGGTCATGAGCTCCCTTCCTCCACGGCCTCCTTAAACCTGAAGCCCCCGCGCACACCAGAGGAAGCGAATGGGCGCAAGCGCAGGTGCGGCGTCGACACGGGGAGGGCGGCGGCGGCGCGTCTCCAGAGGGCGGCGGGGTTCGCGAGCGTCCCGCATCCAATGGACATGCCCCTGGTTGCGAGAGGAGGGGCATACGTAGTGGCAGCAGAAGTATGGGGCTGGATCGATGGGGATCTGGGATGGTCAGAAGCCGCAGGTGGATGATGACGAGGGTGACGAGGCGAACGAAGATGATAGAGGATGGATGGATGGAGGGGCAAGAGAAGGAAAAGGAGGGGGAGGAGGAGAGGATGGGCAGGCTGGACAGGAGTAGGGAGCGCAAAAGAAGGAGTCAATCTAGATGGCTCTGACGAAGCGGCCCACCCCTCCAACCTCCCCTTCCGTACCGTAAGAACCAATGCTGGCACAGCTGGACGCTGGGACCCCGAATGGCGAACGCAAGGTGCTCGCGGTGCGCGCGTGCGAGACACTCCTCGACGCCTTGGCGGAAGAACAACACGCGCCGCGCCCAGACACGGCAAACATAATCTTGGGTGGTAATGTTGGGTGTAAGCAGAAAAAACAACAAGATTCCGCTCGCTGGAGCGCGAGCAAAATCTCCGATGGGCGATGGGCTCAACGATCGCACACCGTGCGTCTCGCGCAGGGCGGCGGCACAGCTTTCAGGAAACCGCTGCGCGGCGCCCGGGCGGGAGCGGCACGTCACTCTCTCGGCCGCGGCCCCGATTCCGACGACCTGGCCAACAAGAACTCTCGTCGCGCCCCGGCTGGAGCTCCATCGTCGGGAAAATCCGCGCGACGCGGGGGCGACAGCAACGTTGAGAACCCTGTCGCACGGGACGTGCGTCGCGTCCCATACCTGGCCCCCAGCTTGCAGCGCTGACCACGCAACGTCCATGCCCAGACGGCGCGCGGGCACGCAGAGTGGGAGCGCGCAGCGATCGAGAGCCAGAACAGCAGGGGAGTGGAGGAGGAAGGACGAAGTGCGAGACGAGCTGCCTTCTGGGGGGGGGGCAGAGAGACGAGGGAGGAGGATGCGGGGAGAGAGGGAGGAGGAGGAAGAACGGAGTGCGAGACGAGCGCTGCCTTCTGTGGGGGGGGGAAGGGAGACGAGGGAGGAGGATGCGGGGAGAGAGGGCGTGTCGCGGGCGGGGGGCGGGGCAGGGAGGCGGCGGGTCCGGAGGCAGAAGCCACGCGAAGGGGGGGGGGGCTGGAGGACTCGTGGGAGCAGGGTGGATCGCTGAGGCAGGTGGTGTCACGGTGAGGGTGACGATGGCAACGGGGAAGTATGAAGAGTGATGAGGAGGGGCCCGGGGATGATGAGGACGAGTGGGATGACAAGAGGAGGAGGATGAGGAGGAGGAGGAGGAGGAATAAAATAGGAGCAAGGATAAGGATAACGAGGATGGTGATAAGAGGATGGAGGACGATTGTACGATGATGAGGAGCTGTGTGACGATAGCGAGGGCATCGACCATGACAAGTTATGGAGTGCAAGCTGTAGACTCTCTCGGGGCAAGGGGGATCAGCAAACGAGGAAATAGAGCGACAGCCACATATGCAAGACTTTTTCGACTGATCGAGCGCATCGCGCGGCTTGGCAGTTGGCACGCCAACCACGTGCCACACACCTATCCGCATGCCAGACGCGTGTCAACCAGACGGACGAGAGGAGAGATGACTTCATGAAGGCAATGAGGGTGGGGATAACGAGGAGGAGGAGTAGGAGGGGAAGAAATCCACCCAGTCTGAAGCCAGCTCAGGAGGAAGGGAAGAAATCCACCCAGCCTGAAGCCAGCTCAGGCCGCATTGCTCCCGCTGTCCTCAGTCACAGGGCTCGCGCCAAGGCCGTCCCCATCCATGAAGACGCTCGGCGAAGCGTGGGTGGGCACGAAGACCTTCTCCTCGATCTCGAGCCTGTCCCTGAGATCCTGGAGCTCGGAAGCCGAGAAGCGAGTGGCAGAGCCGGTGCCCGCATGACCTTGGGCGCCCCAAATCAATCTGGCCGAGAAGATGCCGACACCACACCAGGGCGGGCCGCCACCTTCCGCTTTCGGAGCAGACTTTGAGGATTTCTCAGGCGGGGCGCGACTCCTCCCAGGAGGACCCCGGAGGCTCCAGGAGGCCCCAGAAAGCAATAGAAAGTCCCAGGAGGCACCCGGAAGCCCCAGGAGGCCCCAGGAGACCCTAAGAGATTCCAGGAGGCACCAGGAAGCCTCAGGAAGCCCCAGGAGGCCCCAGGCGGCCCCAGGAGGCCCCAGGAGGCACTAGGAGTCCCCAAGAGGCCCGAAGAGGCTCCAGGAGCCTCAGGAGGCCACAGGAGTGGCTGCATGCCTTTACGAATGTTCCTGTAGATTGGGCCTCTCCTGGGGCACGAATCCTTTGTGTTTTACCCATGCTCCTATCGATTCTCCCTCTCTGGTGGCTCCAATCCTACGTGCTTTACGTCTGCTCCTATAGATTGGGCCTTTCATGGGGCGCGAATCTTTGGTGTTTTCCGTATGTTCCTATACCCTCTCTTGTGGATATATGTCTTACATGTGTTCCTATACAGTGGGCCTCTCCTCAGGCGCGACCCCGTGCTTTTACGTATGTTCCTATCGAATGCCCCTCTCCAATGACTCTTGTCCTAAGTTCTTTACGTATGTCCGACAGATTGGGTCTCTCCTCTTCGTGGCGTGGCTGGTTATATCACGGTGCAGCCACTGCGTGAGATCTTGTGGGTCAGCCAACGAAGCGCAAGGTTTCCGCACGGCGTTTGCATGAGCACCCCTACCCCCTTGCTTCCTCATGGAGGGAGGGATCGCGTAGTCATTTCGACCCAGTCACGCTCAATCATGATCAGGCCACTAACGTGCATATACACTCAGCATACGCTTAGACATACTCAGACTCATGCGCATGGACGTACTCGTGCTACTGAAATTCATTCGCACTCCAGCTCATGGACAGTTAGATTCGCTCCAAGTCTGTCAATACTCAGGCCAGCTTGTATGCGAAGCATCTTGCACCTAGAGGCCCACGGCGGAACGGTCCATGCAAATAGATACACAGATGGGGAGCTCCACGCAATGAATCATTGCATGCGATTCCCCCACTCACCCCCGCCCCCCACCTCCCCTCCCCCCTCCCACCCCCCCCGCTTCCCCTTCACCTCACCCCGCCCACACCACCCCCACCCCTGCCCCCGCCCCGCCGCCCCCATCCGCAAACCCTCCCCTCCGCCGCCGCTTCCAAGAGCGCTGCGCCGAAAAGGCGTACAAGTGGGTCCGAGCTTGCGTGATGTCCAGACCTCCTTCTGGGCCTTGCCGCGCCGCCCTCCCCCCCCCTCCCTCGCATGCAAGCAAACTTGCTGGAGTATAGACAACCTGCCTCATGGCTAGTTCACGACCCCGAGTCGTGCTTTGCCGAGCCTGGGTAGCCTTAGGTCGGGCCTGTCCCCCTACAGGAGGAATATTCAAACTAGGCAAAACATAGTCTGGGGACGATTCTGTTTGAACATGTTTTGGTTATTATGGCGTATGCTTTGACAATTCTTAATTTGTCGTCCAAAATCCGCCTGTATGGGGGACGCGCCCGACCGAAGGGTAGCCCGAGAGGGTCGAGAACGCCTGCCAAGGCCCGTCTCCTGCTGGACTCCTCTCCTCTTCGTGCTGGCCGGTGTGCTCACCGACGGTTCTGGGGCCCTCGATCGCCTGTCAAGGCCGCCACGCCCCCCGGGACATACCTTTCGTCCCGAGCTGTCCTCTGACAGCTCCGGGACCCGGCAGGGGCCCCCAGAGGGCGAACTTGGCAGAAACCACCCCCTCCGCAAGTCTTCACATCGCCAAGGGGACAGCATGCTGCTGCGCATGACTTGAGAGACCGCGCTCCGCGGGCAATTCGATGAGAAACATTTCTCGACACGCCTGGCCCCCACCTATGGCGCTGGCAAAACGGAAGACCACGACGACGACCACCACCACCACGACAAAGACGACCACCACCACGACGCCGACGCCGACAGCGACGCCGACTCCGACGACGACCACGGCGACGCCGACTGCTGACGACGACGCGCGTGTGACATTCAAGTCAGCGGGCGGGTCGGACGGGCGACGACGACATCGTCGTCGTCATCGTCGTCGATGGCGTCATCGTCGTCATCGCCGTTGTCATCGTCGTGGTCGTCGTCATCGTGGTGGTCGTCGCCGGCGTTGTTTGCTGGCGCCAGGGGGGACTGGGGGGAGCCCACTTGGTTCCCACACGTCCACGACGGTTTTTTTCTGGGCCAGTTTGAAGACCCTCCCCTCTCTAGCGACCACAGAATGCGCCTCTTCCATGACCTTGACCCTAACGAAAATCATGCGGATTGGATCCGTCAATGAACTACCCCTGCTTTATCTGGGGGGGCGGAAAGGGGGGGGATAGCAAAGGGTAGGGCAGAGAATCAGCTCACGGAGCTGATGTTCCCAGCGCCTCCCGGCGCCAGGAGGCGCCCATGTATCGAGGAATGGGCCCGGCGGCGGGGCCGACACCAGCTGCATGCAGCAGATTTCGTACCCCCCCCCTTCCCCTGTCCCCCCCCTTACCCTCGGCCCGATGTCTGACTGAGAGGCCGTGCTGCTTCTTTCGGGTGCCGCGAGGCTCCGACCGCCTCTCAGGGCGGCGCGGGCCCCGGCGCCGTCGCCGTGCCGCTCGGCCCGGGGCGCCTGCGGAGCCGTGGACCCGGCCGCCTGCAGGTTGGCGCTTGGCTCCAGGCGCGACCTCGCCTCCAGGGACTCGTCGGCCTCCCGCAGGAGGCGCTCGTCCAGGGTCTCCAGCGCCACCTGTGCGGGGCCTTCCGCGGTGGGGCACGGCACGCCCTGCGCGCTGGCTCGCGCGGGGCGCGCGCGCGGCGCGGCACGCCGCGCGACGCGCTGGAACGGGCGCGCTTCTGCGCGCGACCTTGCGCCGGCAGCTTGCGCGGGAATGCCCGCGCAGTCGGCACCCCCTGTTTGCTGCGTGGCTCACCTCGATGGCGCGGGCCGGCATCATGCACGCAGCGGCCAGGAGGGCGGCCAGGCGTGGCGCCATGAGGGGCCTCCACTGGCAGGGGGGTATATCGTAGCAGTGGTGCGAGCGTGGATGCTGCGAGCAGGACAAGGTGGCACGAGTCAACACTGATTGAGCCCGAATGGCTACATGCGAACGGGGTGACGCTGCGTGGGAGGATGTAGTCAGGCTGCGCTCGGCAGGCGGTGATCGCCAACATCAGACGCCCCTGGGCGACCTGGACCTCCCGATGCCAAGCGCGGTGCCGAGTGCGATCCTATGCCGCTGATGCCCGATGGCAGGCGTGGGGCACCTGCTGCACACCGCACCTCTCTCCAGCACCCGCCTTCGCACCGGCTGCGCTGCGAGCCAGCCTGCAAGCACCGCGGGTGCCCGGCCGCACGGGCAGACCCGTGCTCGGCGTGTCGCGGCGCCGGCCCCCGAGCGACGCTGCGCATGTGCCGCTGTGCACCCGATGAGCTGCTAGCGCCTCGCCTTCAGTCGGGCCTGTCCTCCTGCAGGGGGATTTTGGACGAAAAATAAAAAAAATCAGAAAATACCACCGAATGGTCAAACAAATACTCCACACATCCTCGCCAGACTATTTTTTGACTATTTTTGAATATTCCTCCTGTAGACGGACGTGCCCGACTTAAGCCTCGCCCCGCTCTGCGGGGCGGGAGGCCGGGAAAGGCACGGGACGCGTCGACGCTTGGGGCTGGGCGCCTGGGCAGCGCGTCGCGCCGAAGCGTGTGAAGGGGCCCTGGGACACATAAATAAATACACACGAATAAAAGGATGCCCCATATTTTCGCATATTTTCTAGGTTTTTGTCTTCCCCCCCAATCCCCATATTTTTCCATATTTTCCCTGGGGAATCGACGACGAATTGTGTCTGTGTGTTTTTTCTCCTCCTGAGCGCGGTGGGCTAGAGCCGGCGGGGCGACACGCTGATGAAGCCAAAGCTCCTGACCGCATCTTGGGCCGAGTGACCATGGGCTTCTCCCCATCCGCTTTCAGAACGGTGCCCAAATGGGGGACTCCCACCTGGGCGGCCGCCACGAGCTGCAGTGACGCCGAGGTGCTCGGCAGCTGCAGCTGGCCGGGCCCCGCTCGCCGACGGACGGAGCACCGCCCTCCGGAGCGAGGCGCGCCCGCAACCACGATGGACCACCTCCCGTGCGCCTCGAGCGGGACGCGCGCTGGCCGGCCCAGGGCGCACACGGCCTGCCGCTGCGATCACCCCCCCTCGAGGAAGAGGAAGCGGCGCAGGAGGAGGGGGAGGAGGAGGAGGAGGAGGAGGAGGAGGAGGAGGAGGAGGAGGAAACGGCGTAAACAGAAACTTTCAGAGATCAGCGCGGATCTCTTGGGTCGGAGTGCAGAACAGGCTGGGGGCCATCTTGGGGTCTTCTTGGGAGGCTGGCGAGAAGCCGCGGCGGACACGTGCTGGCCTGCTCGGAGCGCGGGCTCCCCGTCCCGCACTGATATCTCCCTCTGTCGGATCCTCATCCTCATCCTCATCCTCATCAACATTATCATCTCCCTCCTCCTCCTCCGCCTCCTCCTCCTCCTCCCCCCCTCCTCCTCCTCCTCCTCCTCCTCCTCCTCCTCCTCCTCCTCCTCCTCCTCCTCCTCCCTGGAGGGTGGGGGAGGGTCCGGCGGGGCCCGTCCCGCGGGGCCCGGGCGCCGGTGGGGGGCTTCAGAGGAGGGCCTCGGAGGTTCCCTTTGCGGACGCACGAACTGATAGTCCCATTTTCCGCCACCGCTACCATCTGTAGGAGGAGAAGGAGGCGGAGGAGGAGGAGCAGGAGGAGGAGGAGGAGGAGGAGGAGGAGGACCTCCTCGTCCCCCCTTCTCTTCCGTCCTGCACATGGTAGTGGTGGTGGAAAGCTGGCCCATCACTCTGGCTAGCCCAGGTCAGCATCAACCCGGGTCGGCCAAGGCCCTGTCGCGCAGCGCGTCCGGCCGCTTGGCAACTCCCAAACCCCATTCGGCGGAGGACAGAACGGGGGAGTCGGCCTCGCGTGGCTCCCTGCCCTGTGCTGGGGCCGTTTTCCACCACCACGACGATGAAGAGGAGCAGGAGGAAGAGGAGGAGAAGGAGGAGGAGGAGGAGGAGGAGGAGGAGGTGGAGGAGGAGGAGGAGGAGGAGCAGGGGGAGGAGGAGGAGGTGGGGGAGGAGGACGAGGACCCCCTTCCCCTCCAGCTTCTGGTGGTGGTGGTGGTGATAGAGAGGCCCATCACTCTGGGCCAGCCAGAGGGGACTGGCCGACTCCCATCATAGCGCCGACCCCGTTCCCACGCCCTGGAGTGCTTTCTGGCAGCTGTGGCTTGTCGAGAGCGATCATGGGGTGCCCGCGGATCGTTCCAGTCGGCCGCCGGAGAGGCGCGGGTGATGGCCCGAGAGCCTGGCGCCCGCGCGTCTCCAGACAATCACGACGGTAGGGTCTTGGTTGATCTCCTGGCCATCTCGGGAGCCCTCGGCGCGGCCTTGGGGCCGTGACCAGCGTGCTCAAGCTGAGAAGCCGGTCCCTGGAAAGGGAACCAAGCCTCTGCGGAGGGACATCCGTGAAAAAGTCGCGCGGCGTCGGATGTCTACAGAGGGGCACCAGGCCCGCTGCCCCGCCGGCGGCACCGAGTCCTGGAGCACGGCAGGCTCATCGCGTTTGCAGAGTCGGCGTCCGCGGTGGGCTTCTGTCTGTTTTTCTTTCCCGCGGCTCGGTGGCGCCATAGATGAAATGATGACGCGGCCAGTTTACCTCTGTCTCCTAAGGCAGCACAGAAAGAAGGGGGCTTGCCTTGTCGTCTACTCCAGGGAGCGCTGCCACACCCCTGCACGTGGCGAGCCATGACATGATATGGACCAAGAGCTTGGCGACGACTGAACACATCACGGCTTGGACTGAAACTTCCAGAACCGTTCCGATGACAGCGTTCACGTTGGTGTGTTCCGTCGCACATTGTGCTTCTAAAGTCGTTGTCAAAATGGTAGTTGTAACAGATTCGCTGACCGGTTCAAACAATTTCACTGCCAACAAGATAAGCGTGAATGTTCCGACCAACACGTGCCGAACGCCAGGCGCAGGATGGTTAGACCGGGATGAAAGATAGTGAACGCAGTTCATCATAAGCATAAAGACATACAGCGCGATTTGAGCATCCTTCTGGCTCTTGGGCGTTTCGCCCGCCCACGTGGCAAGAACGATGGCGACATCCTCCATGAGCCCGAACGGCTGAATCAGTATGCACGTAAGGATGTCTGGGACGAACTTGCGTTGGTGCATCGTTGTTGCAGGGCCAGCCCAAATCATGAAGTGCCCTGCGAGCACGGCCGCGGAGGCTGCACCTGTGTGCCCCAATTCCGCTTCTCTTGCTGCGTAGAACGCCGGCTCCATAAAGAATGGACGCACCCAGAACGAGAAAGGCAAACAATCCGTAGCAAGGCTGGCGTACTTCGTAACGAGGAAATCCCCACGTTTGAAAATCTGCTTCGCGAGTTTGTCGAGAAGGGGTATGACAGCTCCCGCTGGCATGCTGCAGGCGAGGAGGTACAAGGTTCCGGCACCAGCTTCGCCCTCAGGCTGCGACTTCGCGATGAGGTACGCAAAAGCAGGGGAAGTAAAAGGAAACACGTTGCTGACCACAAGACGTACGATCATCAAAACGCTGATGCTGCAGAACCGTGCCACCGCCCCCATCCGCTGATTCCAATGAGCCCATCCCAGGAATATGTTTTGCATTGCGCATTTCAGTGTTTGCGTGTATTCGTGGAAGATGCACATGCCAAAGGTGAAGGATATGACGATCGGCCAATTCCTCTTCAGCAGTTTCATCACTCCCGTCGGCATATCGCAAATTCTCCACCCGCTAATCAAGCTGATTCTGGCAGCATTGCATGCCTGGGGTGCGCGACAAAGGAAATGGCTTGCGATGGTCCCGACGACTTCGTCGGGCGCGAAGATTAAGTGAGAGCCGTGGGCAAGGACAGGTACAACTATATGACTGAGCAAGACGGTCCCACCAGACTCGTGAAGATCATCGCGGATCATACTGATCTGCTCCTCGAGAGGGACAGACTTGTCGATGGCCTTCTGCGGGCGGTCTCGGAAGGCGTAGCTGCACCAGGACTCCCGGAGCCGCTCCAGGGGGCCCCTGGCGGCCGAGATCCTGAGGCGATCGATCTCCTCCCGCGCCTGCCGCAGCTGCTCCCTGAGCTGGCTGTGATGGGCCCAATTTCCACCAGAACTACCAGATGTAGAGGAGGGGGAGGAGGAGAAGGGGAAGGGGGAGGAGGCGGAGGAGGAGGAGGAGGAGGAGGAGGAGGAGGAGGAGGAGGAGGAGGAGGAGGAGAAGGGAAGGAGGAGATGGGGGAGGAGGAGGAGGGGGAGGAGAAGGAAGGAGGAGGAGGAGGAGGAGGAGGAGGAGGAGGAGGAGGAGAGGAGGAGGAGGAGGAGGAGGAGGAGGAGGGGGGGGGGGAGGGGGAGGGGGAGGAGGAGGGGGAGGAGGAGGAGGAGGAGGGGAGGAGGAGGAGGAGGAGGGAGGAGGAGGAGGAGGAGGAGGAGGAGGAGGAGGAGGAGGAGGAGGAGAGGAGGAGGGGGGAGGAGGAGGAGGAGGAGGAGGAGGAGGAGGGAGGAGGAGGAGGAGGAGGAGGAGGAGGAGGGAGGAGGGGAGGAGGAGTGGGGAGGAGAAAGAGGAGGAGGAGGGAGGAGGAGGAGGAGGAGGAGGAGGAGGAGGAGGAGGCCTCACTTCTCCCCCGTCCTATTTATGGTAGTGGTGGTGGAAAACTGGCCCATCG